TTTTAAAGTAAATGCAATACTTCTCTCAAAAAGTTGCAAGTACATGATTAATTCATTAATTCAGATGAATGTATAAAGATTAAATTTATAAATATATTTTCTAGTTCCTTTTTCCTTTTTAAACTATTGTTTTATACATTCTTATTCACAATTAAACATCTCTACTTTATATATTATTAAGGAAACTAAAAATAATCATCTATATTTCCATATTAAACATTTACTTCTTTTGTCTTTTAAAATTATTTATTAGATCTATTCATCTCATAAAAATACATTCTATTGTACAAAAAGGTATCTATCACATTTTGTATGTTCAAGCACTTGATCCATAATTCCTCTTTTTTGAAATATTTTTCATTTTGATTTATTCCAACCATATCTTCAGAATGGTCTTAACATTTTTCGAATCCTTATTTTCAATTCATTATTATTTATAATGCATATTTAATTAATTGAATATAAAATTGTAATAGATTTACATAATTTGCAAATTCTAACTAATTATTCAAGGTTTGATTTAAATGAATTCGGATTTCCAATTAAAGTTTTAAAAATAATTCCTAATACTATCTTTTTTGATAATTTACATTTATTTCTTAGAATATTTCTTTTATTTTTCAGAATATGCATCGAATTTTTCATTTTAGGTTGAGTTTTTTTATTTCATATAGTATATATTATTTAATAATCTCACAGTAATCTATATTTTAAGTTATAAAGATTCTAATTATCATAATATAAAGAATGTATTACATTTATTGTTACATTATTTAATACCAATAATAACTTTAGCAAACTTAGATAAATTCAAAATAATTTTTAATTTTGAAAGGTAAGTTAATAATAATCTCTTACCAAAAAAAATATACTAGAATTTTTCTGTTGCTATTTGAGAAATTTGAGGTAAGGAAATTTTTTATAATAATAGGATAAGGTTAAAAATGTCCTTCGTTTAAATTAATAACTTTATGCATGGATTGAAAAATAATTTGAAAAAATTATAAATAAATCAATTTTTCAAAAATAGCGAAAAATAATCACTTTTAAACAAAATTCTGTCTAAATGAAAAAAAATCTTTCTCTTATTTTTAATTCACCAAAAATATATTTAAAGAATATAAAAGTGTGAAGCTTGTCTATTGAAGTAATTGTAAATTATGCCATCCATAACCAGATTTAGTTTATGACAGATAACTATCATTGCTAATTACATATATATATACAAATTTTTTGAGAGTAACTTTATGTTAAATATGAGCAATATATAATTAAATAATTTTAAATTGTTAGCATATACTCTGATAACACTAAAAAAATTTACAGTTAAAGAAAAAGAATTTAAATAACTTTTAAAAAAGATTTGATAAAAATGATGTAAGACATCTCAAATTAGAAAAATTAGATATGAATATTAATTGATATTATTGTTTCCCAACCATAAATTGAAATATGTGAGTAGAAAACAATCTTCATGATTTAATCTTATTACAAAATTAAATGGCAGTAAATGGATATTATTGTTTTTTTTAAAATAGAAAAATGTACCAAATAAAAATCCTTATTTGGTAGAAGACTATCATAAGAGGCTAATGTTTTCTGCCATAATTCAATCTTGATAATTATAGCATCATCAGGAACACTAAAAGTTCTATTATGTCATTAGATAATATCTAAATATGGTAAATTTGCAGATAAATCATAAACTTATCATACCAAACTTTATAGAGAGTAGATTATGGCATTGTGTGTAACCTTGTGATAATATAGGGTAATTCATATAAATCCTTTTAAAATTAATCATATTATATTCGATTCTTTATAAAAAAGAATATTTTATGGGATGGTGAGATTTGGAAGAAGAATTTGAGTCATTATATGCAGTCAAAATTATTATTATTTTTCTTAAAATATGCACTAATATAAGAATATGAAAGAAATTCCAATTAAACTAAAAGTTCCTATAGTGATTATCACACGCATATTATTGATTAGAAATTATTTAGGATATAATATACCCGATCTATATTATTGACAAATTAGATAGCAGTCTTATTACATTTTGCATTTGATTAAATGAGCTGGCTATTTGTTTTTGAACCTTAATAACACGGTGCATAAAACAGATTTTAAATTGGAACTTATATCTGTTTCTGAAGCCAAATAAAGCTAAAGATCTTGAAAATTTATACTTGATTTAATATTTTCGATGGATAAGCAAGTATCTATATGTTGGATTATTCTTAACTTTTTGGAGTGATATAAAACTAAATCTCTTTAATTGTTTTCTGATTGAGTTATGTAAATAAAAATAACTTTTTTTGTTTTGGTTTTTTTGTTTTTTGCAACTTAAATGTATGCAACTAAAATGATAATTATTTAATTCTTTGTTGGTCTTAGCTTTAAAGGATGTTATTTGAGATAGCAATCTTAAAATAGACTTTTCATTAGCTAATAAAAAATTGCTAACAGATCTTTTTGTTAATATTATCATTTGGCTATCAATTAAAGACAATCTTTTAATAAAATTAGTCTTCTTATAAATCTATTTTAGATAATTTTTTATTTAAATCATAGAGCATTTTTCCACTAAAAATTATAAATTAATTTTAATAGAGTTTGGCATTAATGTTCATAAAGGGTTAAAAAATTCATGAATTGAATAAATTGAATGGTCATACTAGTTAAATCTACTCAGTCTGTTTTTCTCCTGACAATAATACATTAGCATCTGGTAGTAATGATTAGTCTATCCGTTTATGGGATGTTAAGACAGGATAATAAAAAGCCAAATTTGATGGTCATA